TCACCTGTGGTCAGGAGTTCCAGACCAGCCTGGCCAACGTGGCAAAACCCTGTCTCAACTAAAATACAAGATTAGCAGGGCGTGCTGGCGCATGCCTGTAATTCCAACTACTAGGGAGGCTGAGGCAGGAGAATTTCTTGAACCAGGAAGGTGGAGGTTATGGTGAGGCAAGATCGCACCATTGCACTCCAGCCTGGGCAACAGAACAAGACTCTCTCAAAAAAAAAAAAAAAAAAAAAAAAATCAGCCAGGTGTGGTGGGGCACACATGTGCTCCTAGCTACTAGGGAGGCTGGTGCGGGAGAATCATTTGAGCCCAGGAGGTCGAGGCTGCAGTGGGCTATGATCATGCCACAGTGCTCCGTCTGGGTGACAGAGCAAAAGACCCTGTCTCTATAAATGAACAAAAATGTGTCAAATGGAGGACCCCTTTTTCTTTTTTTTTCTTTTTTTTGAGACAGAGTCTGGCTCTGTGGCCCAGACTGGAGTACAGTGGCACAGTCTCGGCTCACTGCAAGCTCCACCTCCTACATTAACGCCATTCTCCTGCCTCAGCCTCCCAAATAGTTGGGACTACAGGCGCCCGCCACCATGCCTCGCTAATTTTTTGTGTTTTTAGTGGAGATGGGGTTTCATGGTGTTAGCGAGGATGGTCTTGATCTCCTGACCTCGTGATCCGCCCGCCTCGGCCTCCCAAAGTGCTGGGATTACAGGCGTGAGTCACTGCACCTGGCCAGGTCCCCTTTTTCTTACATTTAGGAGTCTCAGTGCCTAACGGAGTTTGCCACCAAGCAGATGTATCAGAGTTTATAGGAAAAAATTGTTATGGAACTTGTGAACCCACATCAGTTTTGAAAGTGTGTAATCAGTCCTGGGAAATTTTTTTTTTTTTTTTTTAAGCGCCATACCTTCGAGTCTGTAGGTATTAAGAATTTTGTCATGCAAAAGACTCTCTGGAATATAGTAGCAGTTTATAAGCCCAGAACTAACAAATCAGAATCCTTGCATTCAGTAGTCATATTGCCGATAGATTGTCAGAAAAGGAAGTTTAAGGCTGTGGTTTAACTTACACATAGTTTAGAGAACTAAGTCCATTTTTTTCTGAAGTACTGTGCTAGGAAAATTCTCTTACTAAAGCACACTCACTGTCTTATGAATCTTCTGAGATGAGCAATAAAGTGTTTTCCTGGCCAGCTCATGCCTGTAATCCCCACACTTTGGTAGGCGGAGGCAGCCGGATCACCTGAGATCAGGAGTTCGAGACCAGCCTCACCAACATGGAGAAACCCTGTCTCTCCTAAAATACAAAATAGCTGGGCATGGTGGCACATGCCTGTAATCCCAGCTACCCGGGAAACTGAGGCAGGAAAATCGCTTGCACCCTGGAGGCGGAGGTTGCAGTAAGCCGAGATTGTACCATTGCACTCCAGCCTGGGCAACAAGAGCAAAACTCCGTCTCAAAAAAATGTTTTTCGGCCGGGTGCGGTGGCTCACGCTTGTAATCCCAGCACTTTGGGAGGCCGAGGTGGGCGGATCACGAGGTCAGGAGATCGAGACCATCCTGGCTAACACGGTGAAATCCAGTATCTACCGAAAACACAAAAAATTAGCTGGGTGTGGTGGTGGGCGCCTGTAGTCCCAGCTACTGGGGAGGCTGAGGCAGGAGAATGGCGTGAACCCAGGAGGCGGAGCTTGCAGTGAGCAGAGATGGCCCCACTGCACTCCAGCCAGGGCAACAGCGCTAGACTCCGTCTCAAAAAAAAAAAAAATGTTTTTCCTTGGATGCTTCCATTTCCTTGAAAGTGTCTTTTCATTTTATTCTTAACCTGATATGCACTAAGAGTGGGTATTTCTTCTTCATTTTATGGTTCTTGTGCTCATCCCAAAGGGTAAATAGAGATGATAAAAATAGTACCTATGGAGAAGTGTAAGAAATCATACAATATTCTTACAGAATGAAAGGGTTTTTTTAAACCTTTTTCACTGCTTCTTCTGTTCACTGCTTCTTCTGCTTCTTTCAATATAGGAAAAGCTTGATGCAGTGGAAAAGTAAAATACACTCCATATACTCTTAGTGGCCACAGTGCTCATTCTCTCCCTCTTGTTCCTTTTCTTCCCTCCTTGTCATAATATATTGAAGATAAGGCTTCCACAGGAAAAACTAGTATAGAGATAA